TCTCGCTCTCAAGCAAATATTATCAGCAGAAAAACTAGCCTACTACAAATCTCTAAAAATCTACAAAAAACCAAATATTTCTTCTTGCATGATCTTCATATTTTCGTTCTTTAATATTAAAAGTCAAAAATTAAATACACGCACATCGTAATAAGAATATATATTCGAATAAAACTTTACCACGTTAGTGAAAATAGTAGGTTGAATGAAATATCCTTTGTCACCATGTCTTTCACCGCCACATAACAAAGTAGCCCCTTCTTTCTTGCCAGATTCAATATAATCTAAGATTCTATATATATAGTTAGTCATTGTGTAAAATAAATATAAAAAAATAAAAATAAAAACAAAGGAAAGAAAAAAAAAGAAAAGTAATATTACTTATCAAATTGTTTTTGAGAAATCTGAGGACCTTGATAAGTATCTTTATGAAAAGGATCACCAACTTTGATGCTTTGCGCATGTGATTTAAATTTTTCAATAAATTTATCATAAGCAGAATCTTCAACATAAACTCGAGAACCAGCACAACAGCATTGTCCATGATTGAAGAAAATTCCCTCATGTGCCCATTTAACAGCCTCTTCAAGGTCAGCATCAGCAAATACAATGTTTGGTGATTTTCCACCTAATTCTAAGGATACTTTTTTCAAATTGCTATCTGCAGAAGCTTTTAAGATAGATCTTCCGACTACAGTCGATCCTATGAGAGAAAAAATGTTAAAGGTTTATAATAATCAACACTGAGTCAATTTGTTCTTACCTGTGAAAGCGACTTTTTCAATTTTCATATGACTGGCGATTGCAGCACCAGCGGTAGGACCATATCCGGACAGAATATTCACAACGCCTTTTGGAAAGCCAGCTTCTTTAAACAAAGCGCCAACTTTCAAGGCAGTCAGAGGAGTTAATTCAGAAGACTTCAGCACAATAGTATTACCTATAAAAAAAAAATGTAATTTGTTAGCAAAATAACTTTAATAATATTTATTATTATGATTAATATAAATACCGCATGCTAAAGCTGGAGCTAATTTCCAAGATTGCATAAGGAGGGGAAAATTCCAAGGAATAATCGCACCACAAACACCAATTGGTTCATGACGAGTGTAACAAAATTTATCGACTTGTGTTTCAATAACCTATATATATATATTAATTTAATGTTTAATCAGTTTTAAATTAAATTTCTGAATTTAACGTTAAATTCAAATTTACCTTGCCATGAATCTTGTCACACCATCCAGCATAATATCTGTAAACCTCAATTAAAGCAGGAAGATCTCCACATTTCGCTTCCGAAAAAGCTTTACCATTATCAAGGGCTTCAAGCGCAGCCAATTCTTCGAGATCGCGTTCAATTAAATCAGCGAGCTTATTCAACAATTTTCCGCGCTCCTTGCCATTAACATAAATCCACTCATCATTAAAAGCTTTTTCAGCAGCTTCAACAGCAATGTCAACATCTTTTTCAGAAGCTTCTACTACGGAAGTAATAACTTCGCCCGTTGCAGGATTGATGGTATCAAAACGTTTGTGATCAACAGAATCAACAAACTCATTATTGATAAAGAGACCAGTATAAACTATATCGATATGATAATAATAATTAAAATTAAAAATAACACAAGCACTATCAATTTATTATCAAAAGTATATAGAGGATTACAAACCTTTAACAGTTTTACCGTCAGGCAAAGTAATATTTTCTTCGTATTTTGAGCACATATTTAGGAAATAATATAAAAAAGAATCATTAATGTTGAGTGGGAATTTTTGTCGTCATTATATTTATATTGTTAGAAAAATGTGATTATCAAGATCAGAATTATAACCCCTCAAGGAATATTACATTTTTATTAAGTGATTAAAAAAAAAAATTACATTGTCGTGTTTACTTTA